TATAAATTGTACCGTTTAGGCAGAGCCTGTGGCTCTTTACAGCCTCTCAATTTATCTAATAATGTGAGCTAAAAGGATGATTGAAGAATGTGCCTGATTATTGCACAGATCTTCAGATATACGATTAGTCGACTTTTGTTCTTTAAAATGTGACAACTGCCTTGCAAATACTTGTGCTGTTGTTAATTTGTAAGATACTATTTGGTCAGTCCCCAAAACTTTTTAATAACCTGATTTGACTGCATTTCAATTATGTACTTGCCCAGATTTGTAGCAGAAGTGTCAGAGTTTAAACTGTGCTCTATCCCAGAAAACCTGGCTATGGCCTTACAGGTTGTCTTAGCCCCTTCGGGCGGCTATAACAAAATACCATAGACTGGGTGGCTTCTAAACAGTAGAAATTTATTTTGTACGGTTCTGAAGGTGGGGCAGTCCAAGATCAAGGTGCTGGCAGGTTCGGTGTTTGATGAGGATCTGTGTTCTTCGTTCATAGATGGTGACTTCTAGTTGTGTCCTTACATGGTGGAAGGGGCAAGATAGTTCATTGAGGTCTCTTTTATAAGGACACCGATCCTGTTCAGGGGGGCTCTGCCTTCAGACCTGACCACCTACCATGTGCCATCTCCTAACACCCTCACACTGGGGATCAGGTTTTAACTTATGAATTCTGGGGGATGCAAACATTCAGACAATAGCACAAGCGGAGCCTCTCCTCTGAGTCCTGCGATCAGAAGCTAGTGGGAGGCTTGTTTAATGTTTGGAGGGCAGCAGTCTGGAGAAACAATAAAAGCCAGGGAGCAGTCCTCCGTCAGCAGGGTGGAAGAGAGGTAGATACGGGACATTATTCTAGGGATAAAGTCAAGGCTAAAGCTATTGGGTGAGTCAGCAGCTGAGCCCAAATAAAGTGTACCAGTCAGCTCCTATTTATAGGGTGGAGGGTCGCCTTTGGCTTCACTTGATGGTTTTGAGGGACTCTATCTTTTGAGAGTATTCTAGAGGGGTTTATGTAGGGTAATAAGACGGTTGGTTACATAGGAGGAATTGCAATTTTTTCTCTTTAATCTATTTGAGTATTTTTCTGGACAAAATGATACTTCGTTGGAATGATTTGAGTTTCTGTGATTTCCAGTATCTGAGTTTTAATACTGAATCCTTGTCTTAGGCCCACCTGTTGACCACCAAATTATCCACATGCCTGCCACGGTCAGTACAGATTAGTACAAATGCAGCTTTGGTATTTACTGATGTTTATTTAGCAGTCTAGGTGCCCAGAGTTTAGCCATGTAATCACAAACCTACTTCTTCCTTTATCCTGAGCCAGGATATAATTCCTTCTTGTTAGAACTTGTCTGACTCTTGTTAGAACTTGTCTGACTCTTGTTAGAACTTGTCTGACAACTCTTTCTCTGATTTGATGGAAATTTATTGCCCATTGTTTTAATTGCTAGGAGAACATAGGGTATGGAATTTTCCTCCAAGTATGGTCCAAAGGAACCCTCAATGTCTTGATACTGTAGCTGTTTCTCTCCAGTGGCACAACCTTTGATGGAAAAGCCTGAAAGTTTTTAGTGATCTCCTAATTTTAGTACAGTCTCTGATGAGAATTCACCCTTTGCTTTATCTTAGTTGTACATTCTTTAAAAACCTATATGTTTTAGGAGTATTGTCTCTTAGTTGAAATTGAAAGCAAATGATGCTTTACGTCTTTCAACATGCTGGAATTATCTCAGCTCGGCAACTGTCAGCTTTTAGAGTCTTAAATACACACACAAGCATACACTCTTTTAAGACAGAAGTGAAGACCAAATAGTCTCTGCAGTTTGCAAACGTGATTTTTGTTTCAGTGACAACTGTACCACGCTCTTTTTCTGGCTTTTTGCAGATCTTTCAATGTAATGTTCTGTCTCAAAGTCAGTTATAAGCTGTGGCAATCTTCATGATATTACTCTCTTATAAAGGTAGGCGTGTTGAAATGACTTACAGTGGCTTAATGCCACGTAGTCGTGATATGGTAGACATAGTGGGTTTTTGTAGCATTTCTGAACTTTCTGCAAACATTGCTTCTCTCCTCTCAGGAGCCTGGACTCTTACCCATTCCTTCAAGTATTTGCCTCCGTCTGACTTTCAACTTGTAAGGAAAATTGTTTCTAAATAGGGACGTTGCGAAGATGCAAGACTTCCAGATCCCCAATGAATGCATCTCACCCGGGGGCTGTGATTGGAGGGCGAAGGGCCTCAGGGCAGTGTCCTTCCTGTGCTTGTTACCAGGACCTGTCATCTCATTACTGGTTATATTAACCTTAGTCAGTTGATTAAGGTGGTATCAGGTTGATTAAGTTGTAAGGTATCTTCACTGTAAGGTTACTATCCTTCCTTGTGTTGATAATAATTATCATGATAGAAATACTTCGAGGCTATGAAAATACTCTATTTCTTTTCAAATTTGCACTCACTAATCTTAGCATTTATTGGTAGATCTTTCCTACAACAATTACTACCATGGTGTTCTAAAGGTAATTTTCTATTTCTCTCATTCTTTCTATATTTATTTATTGAAATCCTTCTGTAATAAAGAGAAATACAGACTCCTGAGCACTCCTATAATAACAGGGTCTACTCACCTGTGCTTGTGACTGGCTGTATGTCCACTGAATATTGAGATAAGGATATGGACATGTTTGTGGATATGAATATGAATGTCAGTATAGATGGGATCATCTATTAATAGATACTGATACAAGGAGACTAAAACATGTATATTCAAAGGCAAAGCTAATTCTCACTGATGTATCTTGGTTTTAAAAATATTAAGTTTGCCAGATAAATTTATTCAATAGCTTAAGAAATAATATCTAGAAGGGACAGATTTGTTAAGAGGCCTTGATATTTCCTTTTCTATCTACATTTCTCATAATCTTTCTCTACCTATTTCACACATGTATCCTGAAACCCAACAACTACCTCCAGAGATATGTGGCTCACTAGAAATCTGAGGTAGCATTATTAGTAATTATTATTTTGAGAATGGCCTAAGTCACATCAAAATAAATAGAATAGATACATGTATATATAAATAACTAGTGAGTACTTCTAGGAAACTTTTTCAGAGAATGAAAGCAAATGGTGCACTTTTATTAGACCTTTTTTTAATTTTTTTTAGGCATTTATTTTGTCATTCTGAATTCTTCTCAGAGAACATCTTCTCATTTAACTATGAGCCACAAACACACATACACCTCCCTACTCTCCCAACACTTGTCTGAGCTTGCAATCAAACTGTAAACTCAATTAGTTTTAGACACACATTTTAAAAGTGTTGATTTTTGAATATAGTGTGCACCCTCTGTTATATCCATTTTCAATGCCATAGTGAACATCAACCAAGGCAGATACAAGTGCTGTCACGGAGAGAACTCTGGACTGAAAGACGACTTGGGCTCTGCTGTGCCACTTGCTGGCTTCCAGTTGAGTACAGCACTTAGACTCATTTCTGTTTCCTCTTGCATAAAATGAAGGCATTTACACTAGACTGCCATACAGAACCTCTCCAGTTTTCACAGGCCTTTAATTTAATGATCTCTAATTCATATTCCAAAGCTAGCACATTAACTGCCATGTGAGTTGTATTTAACTCATGCTAGTTTTGAGCTTGGGGCCTCATAAAGCATATGTAACTCACATGTCTCTTTTCCTTGGGAACCACGTGGTGCACAGGCAACTCATGTTGCCATGCTGTAGCACACATGTTTCATGATGGGTG